GGAAAGGAAAGGAAAGGAAAGGAAAGGAAAGGAAAGGAAAGGAAAGGAAAGGAAAGGAAAGGAAAGGAAAGGAAAGGAAAGGAAAGGAAAGGAAAAAAAGAGGGATTTGGAGGAACACGAACTGAGTAGCAAGTCACTTATGCAAAGGGGCTGCATGCCATTTGAACCTGAGGGTGCACAGTGAAACAAGTGCAGGCATAAAAAGGTAAATTGGTGTTTCCAGCAGTTTGGAAGGTGGGAGATCTCTGGAGAGGTTACGCTTCAGGAAGAGCCGACTCTGAGCACCACAGAGCAGGTTTCAGCACTGGAGACCGCAGGCAGCACAGGCCTCCACCACAGGCCTCCACCACAGGCCTCCCACTAATCCCTCTGCCAAGGGCCTACTCAAAGGCTCCATCCTGTTGCACATATTATTTCTCCTTTACCCTCTCTGGCGGTTTTAATTCAACCCTGAGCACAAGATTCCTCCTACATTTGTTTGAGCCAAGCGTGCAAAAGCAAAGCACGTGGTGGCCTGTCCTATCAGAGAGGGACGAAGGCAAAACAAGGACGGCTCAGTGGGTAATGCTGGCAAGAGCCCACTCAAATCACAGCTTTCTGCAAATCTCTTCAGCACCGTAAAAGTGTGGCATCAAAAGATAAAAAGATCCTGGTCTCTTTTCTAATTCTCATCAGTTTCCTTTCCCTAAGCAATTGCATTAGTTTATGCAAGAAACCTCACCAAAACCTCAGGACAGTCCTGTGCACAAAATATCATTTATTAGAAAGAGAGAGGAGAAAGAGAGTATAAAGGCAAAAGAATTGGTTTTTCTGCTTGTAGGAAAATATATGCTAGAATCATATCCACAGTTAATCCTATACTATTAGCATAATTCAAATTAAAATGTCTAGTGCAGTAGTAGATTAAGAAGCCATCGTACCTACAATCACACATAAACACAGAGGATTACTCCGAGATTGCACATATGAACCTGCTGCAAAGATCAGTATTCAGGGATCAGAAACACAGGCCATATTTCTAGATGTGTCTGTGGTTAGCAGCTCCTCTTTAGGCATTAAAAGCTGTGCTTTTCCAACATGTTCATCCCCAGTTTGCACTGAGAACAATGGGGCTACAGAGGGCTAAGCTCTTTTGAAAACCTAGCCCCAAATGAGTTCGCTAAAATTCAAAGGAATTGAAATAACAAGGGGATGTACCATTTCTTCAATACATTTTATGAATTGAAAACATCTGTTCCTATTATTCTTTTAACATACTAGCAGTCAAGTGTCAGAAAGCTTCTATTGCCAGTAGCTCTTATCACAGACATAGTCATCCAAAAGCCAAAATCCTAGTGGAAGGACATAATTCATCCTCTAAAGATGGTAAGCTTTACCCTATTAATGATAAAGAGAAACCTCTTTTATTTTTTTAAGAAATCTTCACCATTAAACGATGATTTTAAGAGTAACAAAAGATACGCCTTTCATCATTTCCCCCATGTACTCCACATGTAAAGAAGGAAAGAGGAATCATAGTGTATGCAGAATTTTCTTTTCCACTATAAATAGGAATAAAATCAATAGATGCAAGAGAAGTGGAACTAGCAGATTTATACTATTTGGGGACTGAACCTAAAGCACCTGAAAGTTAACGGCATTTGATTTTTATGTGGACTTCCACGAACTGCATATTTTATAGGCTATATCCTGAAAGCCCTAGACTCATTAGAAAACAGTAGGAGCAGAGATACTCTGCCTATGGCTGGTGATGCTCAGTTGGGCATGTTCTTTTTCTCAGGCTTTGGAAGAGTGGGGGCAATCTGAAAATTGCAGTTTTTGCATATAAGATCTTTTTTTTTTCTAGTATGTAAAGTTCATTTGTAATGAATTTGAACAGAAGAATATGTAGCGGTTATTTTGTCCTCATTCCGAAAAACCCTGCTGATGGTAGGTGGGGGCTCCTGTTTATTAAATGATACATGCATGATTTTAGCAATTTAAATCTGTTTCTCACTCAGCCATATAGGCAGAACTCCAGAAGTCTCCTACTGGCACTGTTTTTAGAATAAAGACTCTTATCTTAAGTGTGCAGTCAAGCCCACATGGAGGGAGAAGGGTAAATGCAGGGGGAACGAACATAACATATATTAAGTTTATTTGTGTGTGTGCTGTCTGTCTAATTTAGATGCAATTTTCCTAACAAGTCATAAAAGAACCAAAGAGAGTCGTGTGCAGAGCAAATGAATGGCATTAGATCTTCTCTTATATGCACAAATATACCTGCTAACGGCTTGCAGTCCTTCCACAATTGCACAAACTTTCTCCAAATGGTCACAAAATAGCAGGGAACACTTTACACGGGCCTTGGACAAAGTCAAGAGTACTGTTCTCGCAAACTTCAATGGAAACTGAACTAGAATTTTAGTAAAATCACTTCGCATTTTGTTGTTAAAATTTGCCACTATATTTGTTACCAAGATGTTATATATATATATATACATATATATATTTATATAGTTAGGTGAATGAAATCAGTCAAAATGTAGGTGTCCATGGGCATGGATAAAAAACAATGGTTTGGAAGTAAAATTCTCTCCTCTCCCAAAATATTTCTTCTAGGCATATTTCTCCTTAGTATTACAGAAAATATGATTCTGAGCTGGAAACTCTATCATTTTTAAATTAACTTATTCTGAAAAAGAAAGCAGAACCAATACTCCAATCTTACATGCTATGCAGCATGTTGGTAAAAAATTAGCCCTGGATTGGAAAATCACTTGTATTGATCCAGTAAGTAACAGCTGAAAAAAAAATCCCCCAAAAAATCTTATCCAACGTATCTCTTCAGCAAGCGAACATTAGTCATGCTGTTTTCCTAAAGATTAGCCAGCCTGGATCTTTCCAAGACAGGGGGGGCAGGAAGAGAATCAATCAGCAAAGCTTTTCATACCCTTGTGGAGAACATTCCCCTACATATCTATCAGGGCTGGAGTGGCACCAGCCACTACGGTCTCATCCCGCGGATCTTCATGCTGGAGAAGGGCCCCTGCCACGTACAGTGCCATGAAGGACCAGATTTCACCCTCTTCAGAATATGTAAATGTTGCCCGCTGGAGGAGCCGATGAATTTGCATGTAAAGCCCTTGACAAGGGATGGCAGAGATGAAAGACCCCTTCCCTCCTCGTGCACAGCGCCCTTCCATATCTCTGCTGGCAGTGCCAAGCTTTGCACTTACAATTAGGATTATCAGAGACAGACATAATTTACCAATTAAGAACAATTACGGGTAACCTCAACAGCCAACAGGACAAGATTTCCAATCATTGCAAAACCCAACTTCCTATTTCTATTGCTATGAATTTCCCATTTTGTCTCCTTAGAGAAGGATAAAATTTGTATTTTAAAGGCACAATTTTCAGTCAGTTAAAAAACGTAAGTTAGATTGCACCAAAATACAAGAGTGGATTAAGAAAAGCGAATCAAAAGGTTTCAAATGATGAAAATACTCAAGAGCAGAATGCACCTGAGCATCGCTCCACATCCCACAGCAGCAAGATTGCTCCAGCAGGTACTACACGTCTCAGCACTCTTCCCCTGGATTAATTTTACACATTTACATATTCAGCCCGGGAGATTATTCTGCAGCCTAAACCAACACAAAGCTTCTCCTGATCCAGCCTGAAGTGTTTCACCCTGTGACTCTTGGTCAACTCTGCCCTTTTGCACCTTGTTCACTAATTCCCCTGCAGCTTCGCGATTTACACTCCTTAAATGGGCTCCGTGGCCGTGCTGGACGCAGCAGCTGCTGCCCTGCTAGATGTAGTCAGCTCCTCTCATGGCTCTAAGTCTCTCGGTGCAGCTCTGTCCCTACCAGGAGGGTATCTGGGGCTGTTTGCACAGCCCTGCCCTCAGCTTCCTTAGCGCTGGTTCGGCACAGGCAAGGGCAAAGGGACTGCCCAGCAGCCCCTCAGCCTCGCTGCGGGGTGGCATGAAACAAAGGTCGTCACATTCAAAGGCCAAATTATTTTGCCCTTTAATTCACACCACCGCTTACTGTTTGATGTCGTTTTCTGGCTCTTCCATCTTTTTGTTTTACAGGCTTTTTAACAGCTCACTCCTCGGGCTTAAGCATAATAAAATGCAGACAGGTCCAAATACTTTTATAATAATTAGAAAATCCCTGAGCTACATAGGGAATCTTTGTAACTGGCTATTTTTGACGCTAGCATAATTGCATACCATTTTCCATCTAGCATGTACTCAGCCTGAACTGCCTTTGCATAATCAAAAAAAAAAAAAAAAAAAAAACTTTATAAAAAGGTCTTTACATAATCTTTTGGTGAGAAACCTGAAGCAATTCTAAGCAAAGCTCAAGTATAGTTTTCTGCATAGGTTACTTTTAGCAATAATTTCTTCCTTTCTGGGCTCTTTCATTTGAAGGCCCTGAAACATTTTCCAAGCATTAATCTTGCTTCAGAAGATCAGGGAAGTGACGAGAACCTTAGAACTACTTCACCCACCATCAAAATATAAATGTGAGCATCAGGAACAGGCCAGAACACCCCCTTGCTCTCGGATCCTCTACATCACAGGATCCTCAGCATCACAGGGCTGAGCCGACTGCCTCAGCAGCCAGGCTGGGCTTTTGCTGTGTGTGTTCCCAGTGGCTAGAAGGCAATCTCGTAGTCTACGTTATTTCAACCCACTTCTGACCCAGCCTAACCCTGGCTTGTGAAATCCAATAAAATCAGAGCAGAGTCTGGCATGGCTGTAAGCAATCTTCAGTCATAGTAATACAAAAAGTCCCTGAGGAGCAGAATCTGGAAGAAACAATAAAGAAGCTTGTGATGCAGACACATGGAAAACAAAAGAACAAATGATGGATAAAAGATAAGGAGCGTTATAATATCTTGTATGATGGGAAGGCCATTCCTGTGAGCTGTTTTGCCAGAATTTAATTTAGACTTGGTCAAAAAAAAGAGAAGAAAACTGGAAAGAAGGAACCCATTGCCCCTCTCTAAAGCTAAAGCTTCAAAGGTTTTCTCCAGCTACTAGAAAAGGTATGAGGGTCAAGTGGATCTTTCTTCATTTAAAATAAACTGGTGGAGACATCTTTAACCATAGCAAAATTTCCAATGTGAAGCTGCCATCTCTGTAGCAGGAATTCATTCCGCTTCACAGCAGAGTTATTTGTAGCCTCAGATGCAGGGAGGGCATCAGAAACCAAACCTCGAATAGAAGGAAATTAAAATGAAAAATTCCCTATGTGTCCCTGTCCACGCCCCTTGGTTCAGAAACGTCACACTAAGAGCCAGCGGGGTGGCAAGCCAGCTCCATGCTCCTAGCAGACACTTTCCTTACCCGTATACGAGATACTTGGCTATCTCTTCTCTCCCACCTACCAAAGCAGGGTGGGTTACAGGCCAGTACAGCTGGGTGGCCACTCGTGATGTAGGATCACTGACAGAGAGCATGAGACAGTGTGAGGGAGACCACGAGAGACAGTGTAAGGGAATGGCACAGTAGAAGATAGCAAAGTTGGACATGGATGATGGATTTATTTCCATCACTTTGACCCTGAACTTACTCCTGATCCCTGTTAAATCACTCACTTTGCTGACTGTTTTTTCCTCATGCTTGTTAGAGCTTTAAACCCCAATGGAATTTGCATTAAAAATGCTAATGTTTTGCCGTTTTTTAGGTGTACAGGTGATACAAAACACATTTTTGGTCAATGTGAACTTTTCACATATAGGCTAACAGAGTAAGCAGTTCAGGAGCATTAGCACCTGGTGCTCAATCAATAATGGAATGAAAGACACCAAGCGTCCCTACTATACTCCTTGTAGTTGTTTTTCTAACTGACATCTTGTTGGGCTTCATTGCCAGCAAGGACAAATAGATCAAGGGCAAAATCCCCAAAGCCACTGTTTAATTCTGTCAAGCAAGAGCAGGGCATTTTATCAGGCTAAATATCACCTTTCTTCTGAGCAGAATGATCTCCTGATGTGAAATCCAAGAGCACGGACCTGAGCGCTGGACAGCACTTGGAAGGCAGATTTATACAACAGCTCTTTGGGAGGACACAGAAAAACGGTAGCAAAAATCTTTTTCTAACCATGAAACCTCCTTAGTGCAGAGCTCTTATTCCATCTTTCATGATCTAACTTGGTTTTCAGAAATGTCAGGTTATGCTCCTGGGCCACATGGTTTGGGAGCTGGGAACGGGGCTGGCTGAGCACTTCCAGGGCGAGCGGAGCTGACGGGGCTCCAGCCATGGTGCTGCAGAGCTCCCTGTGGCCTAAGGACCAAAGGAAGCATCATCCCCTGCAGATCATCCAAATGCAGGTCTAGTGCTGACCCAGAGAGACACCCAAATCACACCCAAATCAACAGAAATCCAAAATGGGCATGCCTTTGGACCACATTCAACCATTGTACCACTGTGATTTACCTCATGTAGCCTCTGGCTTTAAGGCAGGTGTTTTTCTCAACATTTTTGAGAAAAAATATTTAAAAATATATATTTTTTAAAAAACGTAAAAAATGTTTTCAACTTTTTTTTTTAAATCACATGCTAGTTTCTAGCTGTATTTCTCATATTAAAAAATGAGGAAAGAGCACCCAACTACTGAAGCACATTCAGTGTGAAAAAAAATCTTTGCTAACAGCTCAAATCTGTGAAACAGACTACCTGGCTCTGTGCTCTATGGTGAAAAAAGACTTCACATAGAATATAAGTGATGCAAATTCCAATTTTCATTAAATGACCCCCACTTTTATGCCTAATTTAAAGTCTCCAGTCCCTAGTTTCCAAAGTCTGGTAACCAGAATCCTCTCGCAGAGTAAAAACCTTCTGAAAAAGAGGCCAAAGACACTTGACCACAAGCCCACTCAAGTAAACAGAAAGTCTTCCACTATTTCCATGGTAAATAAGGTCAAGGAACATTTGTTGGATGTGGTGTAGCTGAAAATTAGGACACACTTCTCAAAATTTTGGCTACAGTCTGTATACATTTCAGTTTGCTCGTGTTCAGGGTGACCTACTTAGATGAGCAAGCCTTTGCAAAGCTTCAGTCCTGAGTTCAGCAGGATGCTTAATCATCCTGCTGCTATGTGTTGTATGGCACTCCCAAAGTCCTCTGCTAGACTCGGGCAAGCTTCTACCTTCACAACCTGCAACATCAGACAGACTGATAGAAAGTTCACCACAATTCCCATTCCCTTTGGAAATGTATTTTGGAGCTCCCAGGTGGCTCCTGGTGCCGCAACGTTGCCAGGCCTGTGCGTGAGCTTATAGGCCACACGGGCTCAGTCGCCCTTGGGGATGTCCAAGCCAGCCCGGGCTTGGGAATTGCTGCTCCCTCCATCCTATTCAAAGTGGAAAAAAACCCGGAAACTCGCTACACAGCTTTTTGTCTTAGGGAACTGTGAACCGTTCAGCAAAGCTGCTCATGGCTATTATAAGCAGCACTTAGGAGTAATGCAACACTGCAGCTCCATCTGTACGCGAGCTTAAAGATATGCAGAGAAACTCCAACTGCACCCCCAGAAAAGCTCCTCTGTGACCAGCAGTGTGTAACACATGCTAGCAATCTATTCCTTGGAGATTTCTGGGAAAAGACAAAAATAAAAAACAACCAAACAGCCGAGCATTTCTTTCTGCATTTGCTTTCAAAAGAGAAGATCTCGATTGTGGCAGCTAAGGATTCAGCAAGAGGCTCAGAACACGCCGCTCCGTAAACATTACTACAATTAGAAAATGTGCCAGTCCATTCCTCTTACCAACTAATACTGAAAGGCAAAAGGGAAAAGATTGCTGCAGGCATCACACTCTGTATTTATAATTTCAAGAGCTGGATTTAAACATGCTCCCAGATCGCAGCCTGCCGGAGCTGGGAGCTTCTGCCCAGCCCCGTGTTATTTCACACTGAGGAGCTGCCTGGCTGCCAGCAAAAGACAGATTAGAAATGGTGCTGCCAAGTGCTAAAAATGCTAGGCAACCGTGTTTTATTGGGAGCATGGAAAGACCTTGAACGTATTCCCTCGTTTTGGAGCAAACAAATGCCAAAAAAGGAAACAAGCAAAATATTAAAGCCCTGCTCCCTATCACAAGTGATTTTGTGCATAATAAATGCAATGATGGTCTACAAAAAACAAACATCAGGTCTTCTTACAAGGGCTATTGCTGAACAAGGGCAAAAATAAAAACTATTCAGGGCTTCAAAGGAAAATCATTAATTTAAAATATATCCAAGGGTAATGAAAAAGCATCTACAATTTAAAACCCAGTACTGAATAACCATATTCAATATGGACCTTATTTCCTACATATTAAATATACATTTCAATAGAATTTCACTGTCAGCTGGTTCTGAATTTCCCTTTTTATAAACGGAGCAATTAAGTTCTCAAGCAAAGCCCACAGTAATTTTGTCACAGCAGTTTTCATGTTCTAAGTTTTTTATAGACATTAAATCGCCTGGCAAGCCAATGGAGTCAGGAAGGAAACGCTCGCGTTCCCATTTTGCACAAAAGATAAAACTGGAGCGGATTAGTTGCAAGTCCTTATCCAAGATGAGAGAAGCAGTGCTGATTATACCCAGACTAAGAGACAGATAATCCAAGCTGTGGCTCAGCAAAACATTTCTATTTAGCAGAGCACTTGCCAGCGTACTTAAATGTTCCTGGATTCAATTCAAATGCATGTTGTTAATGAATAGATACTGATGGAGAGAAAGCCTAACTGTAGCATGGCCTGGGAGGAAAAAGGCCTACAAGCAAGCTCTGGAATGAAGCTACAGGATAGGCATCACCTTGAAAAATGGAGAGCTGGAGTAAACTAGGAGCTCAATGAGTCTCTTTAACCACAGCATGGTGATAAGGAATGTAGAGGACACCAGGGTTATATTGATACTAACAAATGAAAGGGTGCCCAGGCCTTTCCTGGACTTTCAGATCATTAATACTATCAAAATTAGCGTGCTCCTTGATGGCCTCTTGGCTTGTGATGAACCACTCTGTCGCCAACAGCACTTCAGCAAGGTGTGGAGGGCACCACAAGCCAGGGCCACCTCTCAAGAGGCAGCAAACATGTGGTCGCTGTGTTGTGGAAACTAAGTTTACCCTCATAACCACAGGCCCTCTCCTGCCAGCTGGCCACAGAGCTCAGGGACATTACTGTGCAACATTCGGTTTAGTGGGACCCGTGACATGAGCGAACCTAAGTCACAGGAATCAGTGCTGTACATGGCCCAGCACCGCTCTGCACTTGGTTGTGCCAAATTATAGCAGGGTTTTCTACCACAGCTGGTGAAGACTGGTAGATCCCAGGGCACAAGGGGCTCCAGATCCTGTAGAACTAGCATGGAAAGAAACATATCTGGGTTTTTTTTTTTTTTTTTTTTTTTTTTCCATCTTAATGCAGGAGGGTAGATGGTGGTGTTTGAACCTACTGATCAAGCACTTGGATTATAGGATCCACATACACTATACCCAAACATGATCAGCAACAAATCACTATAACCTATAAACGACTGAACATCCTCTCTGGGATTCCCAGCAGTGGGCCAGCAAGCTAAGGTCACACACAGGGCTCGGTGGCTGTCATGGGAGGTGCATGCCAAGTTGTGTAGCTGCTCATCTCCCGTCAGCATCTGTTTGCTTGGCAGTCTCCAAAGGCAATCGAGCTGACAACTCTGAATTTGCCTCTGGGTATGTCACAAGATCACACAACTGTGAGACTGCTGGGAGTGCCTAAAACTTCTTTGTTGAGGATCACACACATCCTAATATATTAGATCCTTCCCAGGCGTAGTTGGAAACCAGCATGTACGACCTTTCAGAATCAGCCAGGTGCTGTGGTTGGCTTAAGGGCGTAGATTAAAGCCATACTCAGAGATCATGCAATTAGCTCCTCTTGCTTACATCAAGATCTCTTCTTTTGAACAAGTTTATATAATGCTCCCTAGGCCAAAAAAAAAAATCCACTTTTTTTTTGTTGTTAAGGTGGGTCACCATCCAACACAGAACACCAAAGGCTGCTCCTAAATTAACCTGAAAACCAAGACATCTGATCTCTACTAGTTTCCCTTTCAACCATACAGCTTTAAGGTTTGATATAAAAGTGCAGAAGACTAAAATAACAATTTATTAGTGGTTTACACACTTCGCGTTGGTCTCACAAGACACAGTTAAATAAATGCCAAAGTTCTTATGTATTTAAGTACTGAACTAAGTAAACATGAGGAAAGATGGAATACTTATGTGCTTACAGTTAAGAGCATGCTAAAATTACTCAGATGTGTTTTCCTTTCCCTGAAAGATTTAATCCTAGACAGAGGATTTAAAAAGCAATGACAAGTTTATCATCAAATATAAGTACATCTTATTTCTATAATTACTGATTTAAAAATAAACTATTTAAAGAATAGATGACATTAAAAATCAATGCAGCTTTCCTCAGCCTGTGTCT